GACTGAGAAGAGCCTTCTTCTTTTCCGGTCTTCACCCTCCCAAGTGCTGGGATTATAGGCACATGCCACCACACCCAGTCTCAGTCACCCAGTCACTGTCTCAGTGCACTCCGGAGGTGGGGCTGGCAGGGCATGCTGGGGATCAAACCCCTAAGCAAGCGCTTTAGTCCACTGAGCTATCTGGCCCTGGGCAGAGCCTTTTTGTCTTGCCTTTTATTTAAACACTGATTTGTAAGCTTCAGGCTTGTTGTGGTATGCGATTTTTGCAAGGGAAACAATATAACACAGGACACATTTTATAAGACTATTTTATAAGGCATCACCCAAGAATCATATACAAGAAGTGCAGGAAATCTGTCCACACACTAAACACTAAGGAGTCCAGCTGAGGCCTGGATCCTGATAGCCTGCATGAGTCCCGCTGAAACCCTAGAGCTCATAACAATGCCTCCCGCAAGTCGGGCTGGAGGCCTGGAGCCCAGGACAATGCCTCCTGCAGGCCTGCTTCACGGATCTGCCCTGGGAAGGCACAAAGGTCAGCGGTGGAAGCTAGAAATTCTGTGCCCGCGGGATGAAGGACCTGGGCCAGCAAGCTGAGGGGTCTGCACTGGAGCCAGGAAGCAACATGTAAGGTAAGCACCAGAGCTCCCCCAAAACACCACAGCTGTCCTCAGCAGCAGTGAAGTCCCAAGCTCCTCCAGACGTAGGGAACACTGATCTCCCCTCAGTTTTTTTTCTTTTTTTTGCGGAACCAGGGATTGAACTCAGATCCTTGCGTTTGCCAGTCAAGTGCTTATCCTACTGAGCCATCTCCCCGGCGGATCTCCCCTCAGGAAAGCCAATGTGACACGTCCTCCGGGTGTCTGAGCAGTGCGCCATCTTCCCTCTGGAGCCAGGAAGCAGTGCCATAGCCATTCTCAGCAACAGTGAGGTCCGGAGCTCCTTGTCCAACAAGAACAGCCCAGTTCATTAGGAAAGCCAGCAGTACAAGGGCAAACAGCAGACAGCCCAGGAGAGCCAAGGGCTTCCAACAGCTCCAACAGCGTCTCCAAACAGCATCTCTAACAGCCTACCGACAGCTTCTCCTGTTCTGCCTCGTATGCTGCTGGCAACAGTCCTCAGGTGGGCCTCCCACACCCAGCACCACGCTAGTTCAATTCAGCTGGGTGTGATCAGCTGACCACCAGCTAGCAATCCACTACGAGGCTCCTGTTCCTATCGATTTTAGCTTCCTGTGCAGATCCCTGGTAAGGCCTGCATCAAAAATGCTGATCCTGAGACCTGTGGGCCTCAGGGTTTAAGTCTCAAGCTTTGATTGTGTGTCAGTGCAGTGGAGACCTAGGAGTCGCCAGTCATTGTCCTAAATCTGAAGTCACCTTGTAGTCCAAGAAATTCAGAGTCATACAGACTACCCAATGCTGAGGCCACTCGCCCTGCCAGAGCAATTGCTCCGCAAGGAGAATGGGGCCGGAGCCTCCCCTGACCCAGGGCAAAACCATGTCTCATGGGACTGAAATGTTCCTCAAGCCATAAGGATTTTTTTGGGAGCTACAAATCAGGACTGAGATTGTGATTAACCTGCCCTCAGCCCACCCCTGCACTCCATAAAACAGGTACCCACTCTTTTGTCCATAGATCTATCAGTCTGATCTGCTTTGGCAGACCTGCACCCAGTTCAGTCCCTTAGGCAGAAGTCCTTTCTCTATTCTCTCTCATTTTCCTTCGCTAAGGGTCCAGCTTCATCTCTGACAGCCTTTCGTGCTAAAGACCATCACATTTCACTTTTCCTTTTTTCTAAAATTTATTTATTTATTTGATACAGGGTCTCACTATACAACTCAGACTCATAGTGATCCTCCTGTCTCAGCCTCCCCAGTGCTGGGATTACAGACATGTGCCACCATGCTGGATTTCGGTGGCCGGCTTGGCATGGGGCTGGCATGGCATATGGTACTGGAGATCAAATCCGGGTCCTTGCACTTGCCAGGCAGGTGCTTAGACTACCAAGCTATCTTCCCAGCCCATCTTCCTTTCTAACTGAACAATTCTCCTGGAAATCTGTGCTGATTTCCCCGAGTTTTATCACTGTTATCGCAGAAGCAAGGTCTCTGCTCTAGCTCGAGATTTTAGGAGGCATTAGAGTGGACTGAAAAGGTGAGCAGTAACATCAGTCACTCCAAATAGCCACATCGCTGTTGCCTAAGCACCAACCACTCTCGACTCCTGGGGCAAGTGGCCAAAACAGATCATAACTGAGAGGATGAAGAGTTCCAAGAATCAGGCGACAAGATCATTCTGTCATATCATGACCAAAATATGCAGGTCACTGTACTGTTACGGTTTGTGTCCAGGTGCCCTCAAAGCCTCATGTAGTCAATGGCGCGGCTTCTAGAGTTGGTGATTAAATCATGAGCCAATGCTGGGATTATGTGTGTGAGTGCCGCACCCACCCCGGGGCAGAGAACCTGTACACGACGTAAGGAAAGGAGAGAGGCTCGCGTGAGCTGCTGCAGTCACCGCTGCTGCCCCTCTCCTGGCTCCTTTCTGTCTCCTGCCACCATGAACCGCTGCCCTCTGCCATGTGCCG